TCTCTCTCTCTCTCTCTCTCTCTCTCTCTCTCTCTCTCTCTCTCTCTCTCTCTCTCTCTCTCTCTCTCTCTCTCTCTCTCTCTCTCTCGCTTGACGTGAAATGCAGGAGGCCAAACAGGGAGAATATGGTGTGACGTTAGCCGCCCTAGGAGCAAGAGTGTCAGATGTCGAGGCTGGTGTTGAGAAGGGAATCATGGGTACGTGACGAGACTTCTCACTTGTGTTATCATTTAAAAGACATGCATACATGACAAGGGAGAGTTTGTCCCATTTTCTTTTTTTGGGGGGTAGGGGTGTGCAAGGGGGAAGAAGTGCTCCTTTCGGTTTCAAATGTGTTACTGCCACAGTCAAAATAACTTTGCGGTTCTACACAAGTGGAACCTCAACCCCAATACCTGCATCGTCTCACAATTCTTTTATCAGTAAACATTAAACCCTAAACCCTGTGCCCTGAACCCTCAGCCCTAAATCCTAAACCCTAAACCTTAAACTCTACATAGTAAACAGTGAACCCTAAACCCAAAACCCTAGACCCTGGACAGTAAACCATAAACCATAAACCCTAGACCTTAAACCTTAAGTCCTAAACACTACACCCTAGACCTAAACCCTAAACATTAAACCCTAAACAGTTAAACCTACCCTTAAAGGCTTAAACCCTAAACCCCAAACCCCAAGCAGTCATGTGAAAATTCTAATTGCCAGTTTTGTCGTGGGTTCCGCAATTTGTTATAAAACCAAGTCTTTATGGCCAATTATATGTATGATGAAAATTTTGCAAGAGTATATGTTGTTGGCCCCATTGAATGTTGTCACGGTTTTTCATTTTTTTGCATTACCTGAGTTTTGTCACACTATGCTGATCCTTGCATGTGAAACAAACAAACAAAAAAGAAGAATCCTCTTGGCTTGTTGGAGCATGTGAACTGTGTTTTCAATGACAAGCTGATTGACTGAGTTTGATGCCTTTTCTTGGGCCTAAAAATATCCGAGTTTCAGTTCCCCCCTCCCTCCCTCCCTCCCTCCCCCTGCCGAAAAAAAAAAAACCCTTATCCTTTTATGTTTTTCTATGTTTAAAATCTTGCAGACACAAGATCAGGAAAAGGCATTCATTTTTCTGCAGTCGCCACTCATGAGGCAAATATGCCAGAAGAGAATGCAAATGCACACGATCGCCTTCTTCCTAGTTCCGCATTAGAGCTGGAGGTGGAGGTAATGAATGTCATTCATTTTAAATGAGCTTTTTGGATCTTTGAGTTTTTGGAAGTATCGTATGGCGATCCTATGGGAAACAACACCTTTTGGATTTTGAATTGCGTGTTTCAATTCATGAAGCGTATGGCCACTCTCTGTGAAACTGAATTTCAAAGTTTTAATTGCAAATTTCAATTGAAGAAGGGAAAGGAGAAGTATCATATGGTGGTTATCTAAGAGCTGCATCTGACATTTGCAAAATGACAACTTAGCCCTTTGGCCCCTTTCAAAATGCATTTTGACCCCGGAGAATATCATGTGCATGGGTCCTGGGGACCAACTCACGCAGATGTGCATACATCAACATCGTCTTCACACTCAATGGACACAGTTGCCACACACGAGACAAAGGTAGATAAGAATAGGACCAAGACCCGTCACTTATATTATCAAAAATTATGATTACAATGAGTTCACAGTTCCCTGAGTCAACGCGCTTCAGCGCAATACTAATCCCACATCAGATACATCAATGCCACCTTCGTCACTTGCTTCTWGCTCAGGTAAGTGTCCTCCATAACCAGACCTTGAAAGAACACTCTCTCTGTCTCAGTCCCTTCCTCTCACGATGCATACACACTCTTCTCTCACGAGGATCTACTCTGAATGTCACTCATAGCTATCTACACTATCCCTGCTAAGTCTACACTAATCTGCTGGGCAGCGATGGCTGCTTCCCTCCAGCGCCCAGCCTTCT